TCCAATCACAGGACAGACACCGATCTGTCCAATCACAGGACAGACACCGATCTGTCCAATCACAGGACAGACACTGATCTGCGCCGTCATCTGCATCTTGAGAAACTTTAACATCTCATCATTCTAAAGAAACTTGAAAAATTTATTTCACTAATAACCAAACATTTCCCCCTCATAACTTAATCAACCAATGAAACAAAACTTTTATCAATATTAAGGAATTGACTCAAAACAAGAAGCTCTTATATTTTGAAGCAAAGTTACTTGTAAATTAGTTTTGCTTTATCTCAATTGTACTGAGAGATTTGAACTAGAAAATAGATTAAAAATAATTGGTAAATTTTCTGTTTTTGCAGCGTACAAGCTTGCAATGAGTTTCACTCAAGAAAAAATTTGATTGTAAACTTGATGAAATTAAACAGATTTTATGAAGAAAGAGCGACTTGTCATTGTTTTCAGGTTGATGTTTTTTTAAAGAAAAACTGGTTTCCAATATACAAGAATTCACATCTGCCTTTGCTAGGAAAACTAGATTCATTTTGTTTCATGAGCTGTGAAAATTGTGAACACACTAGGCTGAACAGCAGCTTTTAGGGTCAAAGTGACACATTTTGTTAGCAAAAGGTTCAAATCATGTTACACCATTTAAAATATTAAACAAAAGCAAATATTACTCTCAATCACCCTTGAAATAAACATGACATATTTCAATCAATTATCACATAATAAATGACAAAATACAAAACTTGATCTTCAGTGAAGCCCAGAGGTTTTCAAAGTGTGGAGAACTATGCAGCTAACTGCGGCTGCAAAAGCAGCATCAGAAGACTGTTCTTTTAAAGAGCCTGAAGACAGGAAGCAGTGGTTTTAGTTTTGGTGTATACATTAGTGATTTGAATAAACACAGACAAGACAGATCCACGATGAGAGACAAATTGTCTCAGAATAAATTAATTCCAAAATCATAAAGTTCTTTGTCCTTTTCCTAGCTCACCATCTTCAGATCCAGAAAAGAATCTCATCCATCTGGGGAAAAAAACGTAAAAGGCCTCTCAACTTAAAAAGTTGTTTGTGTATTTTTCTCTATATATTTTTTTTTATAAGAGTCTAACGTTGAAACAATCTAACACTGCTTCTCTCATTTTTGATACCAAGTAATACAATGAAGTAGATGGCCTTCTGTGTTTTGTACTTCAAAGTAATATTACTGTTAATATGTTCCAGTTTGCATTTTGAATTTAGAAGTTCATAGTGAGCCAAAATGCCATGTTTCAGATGAACCCATATATGTTGAATCTTTCCAGAATGTATATTTTCGCAGAGACTTTTAATTCATAGTACAAAAGTCATATTGACTTTAACAAAACAAAAAAAACAAAAAACTACTCTGTGTGAAGACATGAAAAGTGTGCCATTTCCAATAAAAATGTCATAAAACAGTTCATTTGCTTTTAACATTAATGATTAAAAGAATGTCAGGCTGCATTGTCGGCCCCTACACATTTTCACATTACCAAATCTGGCCCTCTTTGCAAAAAGTTTGGACACCCCTGCGTTAGGGTGAAGCAGAGAGTGAACAGTGAGCAGGTGGTGCTGAGGCTTTGAGCTGCGTTGCAGTGAGAGTCACGGATCGTTTCTTTATATCAGAAAGTCTGATGTAAAGACAGACAGTGGGACCGACTCAGGCTGCATTTAGTCCAGCACTGGGCGGCCTGATAACGTTAAAGTCAGAAGTTTTCTCTGCAGCCGAACCATTTCTGTGTTTAGGAGTGAGGAGGCAGGGTCGGCCCAAGTTATAAACAAACTAAGCAGCCGCTTAGGGCCACCAAGGGGCCCCCTCAGTGGAGCTGATTTTTTTAGTAATAATTTCTATGTCATAATATCAAAAACACACAATTTCACCATCCATCCTTCCATTTTCTGCTGCTTATCTGGGGTAGGGTGGCGGGGGCAGCAGCTTCAGAAGGGAGGCCCAGACTTCCCTCTACCCAGCCACTTCTTCCAGCTCCACCGGGGGAACCCCAAGGCGTCCCCAGGCCAGCCGAGAGACATAGTCCCTCCAGGGTGTCCTGGGTCTTCCTCAGGGCCTCCTCCTGGTGGGACGTGCCCGGAACACCTCATCAGGGAGGCGTCCAGGAGGCATCCTGACCAGATGCCCAAGCCACCTCAACTGGCTCCTCTCGACGTGGAGGAGCAGTGGCTCTACTCTGAGTCCCTCCCAGATGACTGAGCTTCTCACCCTATCTCTAAGGGAGAGCCCAGCCACCCTGAAGAGGAAACCCATTTTGGCCTCTTGTATTTGTGATCAATCAATTTTACTATAAAGTTATGTCTTTCTACAAAAATATATATTTGATTATGTATGTAGAAATTATAACTTTATTGATACAAAGAAAAAAAATTGCTCTTGGGGGCCCCTGGTGGCCGCAGTAGGTACAGCTGGTATCATGAGCTTCTGTACAATGAGCAGAGCATCCAAAGTCTAAAGCTCCGGTCAGAAGTTACGTAAGCAAAACAATGTCTCAAAAAAGTATTTATCCTTCAGGGAGGTAGAAAAGAAAGGGCAAGAATAGAAAAAAGCCAAGATAAAGGTTTGTTTTAATGTGCCTTGATAATGTAATGCAAATATTTGTTAAGCTGCTAATAGAAATTAATCTTTTACATTGATGACATGTAAAAGAAGTGTTTTTCCGTTGTGCGCATTTGCGTAATTTCCATATGTAAATCTTAAGTAAATCTGATTATGATTAAGTCAGTGCCTCACCAGCTATGAACCTCACCGCACGTCACTGCTGTTAAGTGGGAAGAATAAAATGAATAATAAAATCACTGCTATAGAAAAAGTTGTATCATTTAATAACAGCATATTAAATATTCCTGGTTCCATAGAAATAAGTATAACTTGTTAATATTATTATATGGATGATGATTATTGAATTAATAAGGCTATCATATTTGATGATGCAAACCCATCCATCCATTATCCAATTTCTTTACTCCTTTGTCTTTATTGGGGTCTGGAGGGCTGCTGATGCCCATCTCCATCTAACATCCTGGGCGAGAGGCGAGGTCCATCCTGGACAGGTCATGATGCAAACCTTTTCTGTTTAATTTGATGTAATATTATTAGTAAAACATAAAGTATTTAATTACATATTTTAGCATTACTAACATCTTTTTACTTCCTCAACGTTACTTTAAAATTTACAGAGAACTTCTGCCATGTTTAATTTTTTGAAAATCAAATTGTAATTTCTGAAAAGTTTTACACAATACACATGTAATTTGGATTTTAATTTCAACAGTGAAAGTAAATAAAGATGTTTGCATGTCCTACTTTATTTTGCAGGTGATTTTTGTGATAATGTTTTTAAGATAAGTTTTGTATAGCTTTATGTAATCATATAAGAATTTTTTAATTTAAAAATTAACAATGACACTTTAACTGCAAAAGAGTATCATTTTCAATAATTTTATGTTAAATTTGTGGCAACCAGAAACTACCATTAATTAGTTTAACCTGTTTTTAAATATTTTCTTAAAACTTATTTCATTCCAGATTGACTTTTTAATTGGTTTTAAGTATTGTACTTTTTATTTCCTTTATATCTTTATAAAAAAAATTATTTAATTTTTAGGTTATTAAGGTTTTATTATTTGCTAATAGTTGTATTATGTGACTTCTGTTTCATAATTTTTGTGCACAGCTCTTTGATCGTGTTGCAGTTTACAGTTCTTTAGAACTAAATCAGGAATAGAAACTCCAGAGCTGCAGAGTTTAGATGCTGCATGTTCATTTCTGATGTAAAATAAAGACAAAAACTAAATAAATAAATAACTTCAGGTGTTCCTCTTCGTGTGATTTAAAACTCATGTTTTTAGACTCATTTCAGGGAAAATATCAACTGAACAAACTGAACCATGAATGTAAAGACAGTCAAACAGGAAATGTTTCTTTTTCATGCATTTTTGATTTATTTTTCATTTCTGAGGTGAAGAGAAAACTCCATTAGGGAGGTGAAGATCAGGTGAGACAAAAAAACAAAACAATCAATTCATTCTAATTCTACAAACGTGGATTAAATTGATGAAGATACAATTATAAAATTACATCTGAGAGGAAATTTAATGAGTTTTATTCCACAATAGTTTATTTTCCAGGCTTAATTGTTTTTTTAATCCAGTTCTTGTATTTACACACATCCATGATTGTAGCTGAACTCTGACATGCACCTTCTCCACCAAAAGAAATCACTCCATAAATCTTGCCGCTGTGCAACGCTGCTCCACCAGTGTCGCCCTGTAGAAAAATTTATATCAATATATTTATTTTGTAAAACAGAAAAGTCTTCTAATCGCTGCAGAGCGATATTCAAGAAACAGACTTACATAGCATATTTCCTTGTTCGGTGCTTTGGCACGGAATATATGTCCATATGGCAGCTCAACAAGGGAAACAGCAACAACTTTCATGTCGACACACTGAAGATGTGCTGGAATGGCTGAAATATTCACCGTAGAGAAACATGAGAATCATAAACATGTTCTTCACTCAACCTTCTCTTTAGAAACAGAAACAAAGATTTTATTCTCATAACTTCAATATTTCTCTCACATTGCTTATTATTGGGGCCGGTTGTCGTTGCTCCCTCTCCTGCCAGCTTAACATTATGGCCTCTAAAACATAATAGGAATAAAATGTAAAAAATACAAAATAACAAAGAAGAAAACTAATTGTTATGAATAATGAAAGAACATAAAATGAATCCATGAAGGACTTCATCCACTGACACAGGAGTGTCCACCTCCAGTCCTCAGTGACGGTGTCCTGCGTCCTTTACATGCG